AAGGGCTTGTAAATCCTCTTCTTACCACTTCTTGGGAAATGAATGCAATATTGATGGAAAGGGGTTGCTTTAGTTCATTTCATGCAGCAGACTTGCTTCAGGAACTGTTTTTGTGATTGTTTTAAAGAGGTTTTATTGAGTGTGCTTTATATTTCTGGGTATTTTGGTAAGCTATCTTGAGGACTTGTTGACCAAAAGGCAGACTAAGATAAAAATGGTAATAGCAACAATAATAAGCAGACAGTGCCACACCCCACTGAAAGGTTCTCATTACGAGAGGCAAGCATCACTCGCCACCTGCAAACAGATTCATTGCCAGGCAGCAGACCTCCTAATAACAGTTCTCAATCTTTGTTAATAACTCAACTGCTACTCTCTTAGCTGTCCCGTATTCCTAGACTGATTGTAAGTACAGTAGCTGGAAGAATTAAATTATCAACATGGAATCAACTATCTTTGATAATGATTTGTTGTCACCCTGCTTAACTTAATTGTTCACCTGGAATTTAATCCTGCCCACAAGTACCACTGACAGGATTGCAGCCTTCATTCTAAAACTCCTGATTAGTTGTATGTGTGTTTTCTGATAGCATCCTGGTCCACCAGCCTATCTAGATGACTAGCCCCCATTCAGTTGTCATAAATTATTGTGATTATTAGTCTGCTCTAGTTAACTGGTGGATTGATCAATAAATTAAGCTATTGGCCTTTTAAGACAATAAACGTTCATTATTAAATGTTGTAGAGTAACCAAAGGAGATGAATATTACCATAATGCCCCTGGTTTTAAGTCTCTGTGAAACATTTGGCTAACCAACCACTGCCAGGTCACTGTAGTTTCCCAAGGTGCCTGAGTCCTTAATATGAACATCCAGCATCCTTAAAGATACATGTCGCATGTGTTACTGAGCACTGGGATGTCATTTCTGACATCTACCCTAGTGCTCAGATACCTCGGGAAAAGATTCAGCATCCCCAATACCAAGAGGGAGGTTAGATGATGAGTTTGACAAGAATTTTGTGACAACTTTGTGCTTGTCTCCTTTAACCATCAGGAGTGCCACCTCTGAATTGTTGTATACTGCTGTGGTTTAACACCTATTCATTTGTTCAATGTGTCACAGTCTTCTGCTAAATACAAACTGAATCAGCTAGAAATCTAATTACCAAAATTTTAATGTAAACCTTCACGTGACAGTTTTAAATGGTAACAAACTTTTTATTTTTATAATCTTGAGAGGATCTAGCAGGTGTTTGACTTTGCTTCTGAGAAGGGGTTATTTGAATAATAAAAAAACTAATTGCTTGATTGAGGAAAACAAATAATCCACAGTGGTAAAAAAACACACACCATAAATTGTTAGGGCTTTGCTGGGTATTTCACAAAAATGACCCATTTTAGATTTCCTGCACATATACAAACTTACAGTAAAATAAGTTTGGCAGTTCCATTAAACCCTCTATGGGGAGAGAAAAGGCATAAAAAGTCCTGACTGCATCTGTGCAAGTGAAAACTATGTTCCCCATTTTGCTCATTGGATAGTGCAGTAAACTTTTCCACTGAACTTAATGAGAGATCCAAGTAACTGTTATTGGCAACACTGCCTAATTGTCAAGATTCATGTGATCCTTCAGCTTCTGTTATTAGTGAAAATACCCCATTGTGAGCCCTATTATTCTTGGCTAACTGCTACCTAAGGGAATTTCAGCTGCATTCCAGAAAATGCAGGATGTATCTGCAGAGGGCTTCCGTGGGGAGATATGCTGGATAGCAAAGTTGAAAAATTGAGTCATTAAGACAGCAGAAGACCTTAGGGCTATAGCAAGAAAAACCCAGAAAGGGGCAGCATGCTTTTAACATTATACCTTGCCTCACCTACTGCCCTGCCATTTCATCACCAAGTGCTGGCAAGAACAACAACCCATGAATGCCACATAAAAGCAGATTATCTTTCAGGGTTTTGACTGGTAAATCTCAGTTGTGTTTATGCAATATATAAGGCACCTTCCCATCCTGGCTTGGGTACAGCAATGAGCATTATTATTATTATTATGGCACTGTGGTCTAAACCGCTGAGCCTCTTCGGCTTGCTGATCAGAAGGTTGGCGGTTCAAATCTGCCGGGGTGAGTTCCCGTTGCTATGTCCCAGCTCCTGCCAACCTAGCAGTTCGAAAGCATGCCAGTAAAAGTAGATACATAGGTACCGCTGCAGCGGGAAGGTAAACAGTGTTTCCTTGTACTCTGGTACTCATCACGGTGTCCCATTGTGCCAGAAGTGGTTTAGTCATGCTAGCCACATGATCCGGAAAGAGGTCTGTGTGCAAACACTGGCTCCCTCGGTCTGAAAGCGAGATGAGCACCGCACCCCATAGTCACCTTTGACTGGACTTAACTGTCCAGCAGTCCTTTACCTTTACCTTTTTTATATACTGCTACTACTACTATATTTAGGACCAACAATTAACTTATTCCAAGAGGAGGAGGATTTAATAATGCTTGGCCTTTCTTAACCTTAGCAATTCAACTTCTCTAGTGTGAATGAAATTCAATGTCAATCACAGTAGTGCCATTCACATTAGTGGAATGGAAGTAAGTAATGTGTCTCCTGTATTACTGTCTATACTGCATTGCTCTACATGGGTAAATTGCCTGGAGTGTGATTTGTAAGAAATGGGATAGAGAGGAATACAGAAAACACCATAATGCTATTATAGAAGTCAATGGTTCATCCTCACCTGAAATACAGCTTGCCATACTGCTGACCTCATCTCAGAACGGATATTGCATGACTGAATGTAGTTCAGAAAGGGCAGCTAGAACGATTAAGAGCATGGAGTCTAAAAAGAGTGAAGGTGTCTCTTTCAGAAAGGAGATGGGGAAGGGTGCTGCTCTTTCAGAAATAAATAATTTAAACATAAGAATTGGATATAATTTCAGGATGGTATTCTATAAACTTTTACCTGGGAGAAAGCATCACTGGATCCAATAAGACTTAATTCTGAGTAGACATGTATAGGATTCTGTTGCTACTCTGGACAATTTTACAATAGAATTATTTGCCTCAAGGTATTAGGTATTAACATTGTAAAAAAACAACAACAACTAGTTTGCATATATTTACAAGTCTTAGAGTTATTGTAATGTTATGCTAACAGTTAATAGAATACATTGAAATGTATGTTTGCCTCTAAAAAACAGGGAAAGGAAAACGGGGAAAACAAAGAAAATTCTGGATTCTTTCAGGGCTTAATTAGCTACAGCGTCTATGAAATGTTATGCTATTTTATTGGATAACTGAGGCCTTCCTATTGGTCCCCCCCCCATGAAGAATTTAAAATTTCTCCCTGAGGTTAATAAAAAAAAATTCCCACTAATAAATAAATGTATTATTTACATTCTACAAATAATTGCCATGCAGTTAGTCCTGTCAGAAATTAAAATGAGGCATCTTACTATTTCTAAACCTCCCCCTTTAAAAACAATAATGTGATTACTTCCAAAGCTGGCCTGATATATTTTGGCAGCTGAGTTTCACCACAAAATGGTGCTTCCCCGCCAGAGATGAGGGGGAGTGAAGATCTACATTGGGAACAAGGGGGCGAGGAATCAAATTAACTTCACCCAACAGCTGAACTGGGAAACAAAGGTCATTACAGGATGAAGAGGTCTGTCCAGGACACCCCAGAGGGCAGTCTCCACATTCCCTTCTCAAGGGTGCTGCATCTTTGCCCAGAGGTGCTGTGAAGGTAGCGGGGGGGGGGCTGCTGAGGAGGAGGCTGACCCAGCCTCCAAGTGGCTACAGCCACTCTTGGCACTGTAGCAGCTGGTAATGTGCTCCTTGAAGGCTGGGACACCCCTTTGGATCCTGCCCCCTTCACTTTGCCTCATGGGTGGGTCAGCCCTGATTACTTCTCATGGAAGTATTCACTGTCTCTGAACCCCAAATAGAGACACAGCGATCACAGCCGAAGTTTATTGGTTTAAATTTAGGACCTAAGCAAGCAAGATGTGGAAAATCCATTATCTTCTCCAGACAATAATCCCTCAAGGCCTTCCCCTATACTATTTTCCTGATCTACACACAAACACACACACACTTGCTTTTCTCATAGTTGAGGGACAAGCATATTGCTGTGACTGTGTTTTATATGGGAGCTATAATAAATAGCTGACATTGTCTAATTTCCTTACAAGCAAATCAGGATGTATGGTGAACAACTTTCTGGAAGCAAACTGGGTCTATACTTTGTTACACCTTTTCAATACTCCTCATTTTTTATGCTTCAATGCTTATTTGTTTGGGTTTTTCTTTTTTCTTTACATTGAATTCCACATAATAGAATGTCATTTAATGAACAATGTAATTTAAAACTTTGATAAAAGACACTGTCCCCTGATTATCCTTGCTGGAGAAGAACTGACTACCTCAGTGGACTTAATTTTTGGGCAAGAGGAACCTCCCCATCCCCCGGCTTTGGGAATGTAGCCTCTGTACTGACATCAGCTACCTTTAACTCATGTTCTGCCGGAAGGACCTTTCCTTTTTTTGCAGAACTGTTGATTTAACAGGAAAATATGCCCTTGGATCCTCTGCAAATGACAACTTTGGGACTGGATGTTAGGGTGGGTTAGATAGCCAAATTCAGACTGGTTCAGAAATAAAATTATATCTTGCCATTTCCATCATGACTACTGATAATGGGGAAAGTGAAAAGCATAATTACTACTACAAACAATGATAGGAGGACTTGTGAAGTGACACTTATATGCATATGACAGTGTGTGAAATATACTTTGATGAAAGCTATGAGAAAGACTTATTTCTTTTGAGTTGTTTTACTCCTTGCCACAGGTATTTTCTTAAAGTTGCAATGCCTGAACAAAGTTGTTGTTGCTGCTGCTGCATCACTAAGAATTATGTTATGAAACTGTAAAACTGCAAGTTGGGTGACAAGCATTCAACATTTCTTTTGTTCTTGTAATTTTTTATTTTCTGCAGACGCACTATGAAAATGGAGAGTACATTATCAGGCAAGGTGCTCGCGGGGACACTTTCTTCATAATCAGCAAAGGCAAGGTAAGCTCTTGTGGCACCCTATTTAAAGTGCATGTCATAAGCAATAGTTGCATATTATAGGGATGTAACACCAACCCTCGCTTTTTCCCCATGCAGTGCCAAGGGGGGTGCAATATTTCACATTTAATTTGATGTTGTGACTTGGTGTTGGCGATGGAGGCTGCACTTTTCAAATGAAAAACCTAAAGAGTTTTATTACACAGAGCTGTACACATTTTTCCCTTGCAGGGATCAGATGATTGTGTAGCTGTTAAAACTAATTTACCTGTTACATTTCCCAAACACGATAAGACTCCTGTGAACGATCCCCAGATCTGTACAGAAATATAAACACGCTGGTTTATAACACAACAAAGTTATATCCAGGAGATCTGCACGTTTCTCTGGAGTTTTTGCATCTGTTTTGACACGTCAGCCCATTCAGACTGTATAGCAAACGGCTTTTGAATCTCAACAGTTTTGAAACTTGGTACTTACATAAATTGTGAATTACAGTCAATGTGCAGATTAAAGATGAACAGGCTCAGATAGGAGCTCCAGAATTTATTCTTTGGCTTCTCCAATACCTCAGACCTCCTCACCATCAGTTCATTGATTCCCTAATCCCTTTCCCCCTAAATAACACTTGTAACTGGAAAGTGGGGCAGCAACAGCGTTGGCAGGCAGCATCAGAGACTAAGATAAGGAGACAGGCAGTAACCCTTGGAAAAACTACAACCTGCAAGGGCTGCCAGGACTTCTGGTCCTGCATAGTAGCAGCATATTAGAGGGAAAGATTGGAGAGGGCTTATCTCTGTCCTTGCTGTAGTCTTCACTGCCATTTCTGCTCCTAGTGTGCCATCACTAAATATAATTTGAACAGAAGGGTATAAGGGGTTTGGAGGCATCAGGAGAATATCAGGGAAGACAATTCAGGGATGGGATGACTAGGCAAGAGGGAAGGGGTGGGCAGTTAGCTTGCCTTTTTTCTGAGCCAAACTATCTTTATTATTTTCTGGAAAGGAGCTCAACTTCTTTTATAGAAAATCTGGTTAGGATGGGAGGACTTGGTGTGTCACCAATGCTAAGTCATGGTTGTGTTATGGTCGGTGCAGAATTCTGTGCCCCATCTATCATGACCAGGTTATGAGAGCGCATTATTCCATTTCTAGCTTGTCTGAAAAAGCTTTCTTTTTATTTTCCAGACCAATTCAATGTGCTGGTTATCATCCTTACTTGTCTAAATAGTCTGTACCATATGAATCTTATGGCTTGTCTCTAGCTGATTCATCTGATTACTATTCTGTATGCCCTTCTGTTGGCTCTCCAATCTGCCAGGCCCCATGGTAGGGGGTAGGGTTTCAGTGGAAGTGCCCACGCAGTAGAGTTCTTTATTTATTACTAATAAACAAAGTAAACCAAAGATGTAGAGCATAAATAAATACTGTTACAGCAGGCTGCAAGTAGAGTTCTTTTTTGAGAGAAAAGCTATTTCCAGTTTAGAAATATTTTAATCTGGCTCTGGGATTTTTCTGTTGGTGCATTCTACATTAAATTATATGCTTTGTATTAATTTTACCCCTATTTTAATGCTATCTTAATCGTTTTGCTGTGCTCTATTTTAATTTTTATTAATATGTTTTGTTTAACAAGAATGAAACAAATTAGTGGAAAAAAATAAGTTAGAGGGAAAGTCCTGAACATGCATTGCCTCATATTCCAGAGATCAGGTTTGTTTATCGAGAAAGGATGTAGGGCAGCCTGCCAGAAACATGGCCTTCAAACTTGCAACTGTCTCTGACCTGTTATGGAGACCTCCTCCTTAAACTGCATAATCTGCAGTTCTTCTGTTTCTCAGCTACTGGATGTGAACTTTGCTTTATCTGTTTGCTTAATGTGGAGGGTAATTAGAATGAGCAAAGACTAGTTGGTAACGGAACATAATGACCCTAATGTTGGATATTTACTTAAGCTCAAAGCATAAGTTATGTAAATACCTTAGAAATTAATAAAGTGGATTTATTATATTTATGTTAAGTATACTACATATTAGTTTTCTCTCCCCCCACCCCCACCTCCCTGGCCATAACTCCAGCAATTGATTTCATGGCATCTGTGTTTAGGAGGAAACATGTGGAGGCTTGGCTTTTCTAGAGGGAATAATGAAGCTTAGTATCAGTGGTAGGAAACCTCAGCCTACAGGCCTAATTAGGACAGGCCGGCCTCCCCATTTGACCTGTGCTGTGACTTGGCCCAAAACACACCCATCTGCCCATCACCTAATGCCATACAATACCAGGCATGGGACAGGTAAAGCTGTAGTACCAGATTCAAAAGAAATTGAAATGCACTCCCAATTCTTCCTTTCCCACCTGCAGGTGGAGTTCAGTTTTTGAATTTGACGCCTTTTTCTGTTTCTCTGACAATAGAATAAAGAGCTAAAGCACCAAATTAAAGCTGGAAAAGAGGAACCGACCGTATACATGATGAGCATTCAGATAGCCGTTTATTCCACTTTCACAATGTTTCCCTGTTAATTTCCACAATATATTATATCGCTATATAGTGTATAGTATATAGTATAGAACTATAGTGGAATATAGCACAAGTTTAAAACTCATTTCCATATTATTTGCAAACTGCTTTTTTCTGGAAGTAAATAACACAGAAATTGACACTAAACTTACACTATGTTCCACTATAGTTGCGGAAGTGGCTTTACGTCGTGTGAAAGCTCAGATATAATGCAGAACTTAACAGTTAGAGAAAACTGCCATAGGAATGCAGTCACCGAGTGCACTTCTAGTTCTTCCTTTGCAGTTGCCACTGCGGCTTGAATTAGACACTTGTTTGAATTCAAGTCATGGCTGCAAATGGAGAATCTTCCTTTACAGCCATAGTTTGAATTGATTCATCCATTGCAGCCTGCTTTTGAAGTTGAATCACCTGGTGTCATATGATGTCATGTGACTGGCCCCACCTTTCATAATTGCCAGCAGAAGTTGGGCCAGTTCTGAATCTGAAACCTCACCTTATGACAGATATGAGCCCCCCGCCCACATGCCTCTTTCATTCTCCCTTAAATATCTGGAGATCCTTGATGTTGCATGACTTTATTACATTGCAAGTTTCCATACTCCACTCTTACACAGGAAAACTTGCAGCTGTATGATGTCCTCTGTGTCCCATGTAGCATATTCCTGACATTATGAACAAGGGGGTAGAATGAGGGGCTTCTATTTTGGGCAGCAACCCAGCACCTGCCATAACGTTCAGTTCCAGCCTTGTGAAACTATTAGGAGAAAAATATATCAACCAAAACTGGGAATGTGAGTGAACATTTCCTGCGCCAGGCTCAGGAAAGAATTTCATGGGCTTGTTAAATTGCCTGTCTCAAAGGAGAGATGCAAGCTCTTAAAACCTTCATTCCCCCCACCCCCGCTTGGATGAAAATCCATCAGGAGAAGAATTACTGCCTTCTCCGCCTGAAAAATGCTTTGTACTGCCTGAGCAAAGCCTTTGTCAGCCAGGGATTGTGTGCGCTTTGGCAATTGTTTCAGCTGGCAAAGATACCCACAACCCTCTGAAAGTTGGCCACATACCCACATTGCATTGCATATTTATGATTTTAAAACACGTGAGGGCCAAATCCAGGGGTTGGACAAAGTCCCCATGCCCCAGTGAAGGCCTGCCCCCCGCAGATTTACATCCTGCAGCATCTTTTCCCCACCCCTATAGTAACCGATGGAGTCAATCATTCCTCTGGGAGAGGAAAAAAGATTCTCAAGTATTTTCTCAGTTCTTTAAAATATAACTTGAGTTCTTTGTGTGTGCCATATAACCCTGTTGTTGAACTGCATAAATGGTTGAGTATTGTTTAGAATTGCTGTTGTTTTTCTGTTTCAAAACAGGATGAGCCAGGGCTTATATAAATGTAAGACTTAGAAAATTGGTCCAGTCCAGCTCTAGTTATGTGTTGTGAATCATGTGAAACAAAATCTGTTGGCTTTGGGTGGAGATACACATTATATTCTGCATCATAAGATGCTTTTACAAAATCTAGGTATTTGACATCACAGTGTTACGATGAAGAGGATAGCAAAGTATTGATATGACATCTTTTCTTTGTGCTCTGTAAAAGGTAAAAGTACCCCTGACTGTTAGGTCCAGTCGTGGACAACTCTGGGGTTGCGGCGCTCATCTCGCTCTATAGGCCGAGGGAGACGGCGTTTGTCCGCAGACAGCTTCCAGGTCATGTGGCCAGCATGACTAAGCCGCTTCTGGCGAACCAGAGCAGCGCATAGAAACGCCGTGCTCTGTAATATACCCTTAAATTAACTTAATAATACTTGCAAGATTCCTAGTCCAGTATTATAGCCCCGTTTTTCCAGATGGGGCCTACGGTTTGAAAATGCTAGCTAGGAAAAGGTCTCTTGAAGGCTTCATTATGGAACTGGGATATGAACAGAAAATTTAGTTTACAGCTTTTTCTCAGTACAATATACCTTTTCAGAGCCAATATCCTTTCACTGTCATTTTTTAAAAACTCTTCTGTTCAGGTAAATGTTACTCGTGAAGATTCGCCTGGAGAAGATTCAATCTTCCTCCGTACTTTAGGAAAGGGAGATTGGTTTGGAGAAAAAGCACTCCAGGGGTAAGTATTTAACTTTGCCTACATACACAATTTAGATTTGCTTCAAGTAACGTTTGTCTTGAGTAGCTGAAAAATTAGTGGCATAAATGCCACATTATAATGAAAGCTGTGCTAAATTGTAAGCTAGAACTTAAGGAAATAGAATTCTCGGCCACTCTCACTCATCATTTTGTACTAAAGCAGAAGGCAGGCTGCATATAATTTATAATTCTTTGCAATTGTATGTAAGCCTTGTTATGATGCTAAATGATCTATCAAGCTGCTAAAATGTTTGCTTTCATTCCTGCCTCCCATTTTCCCCTCTTTTCTTTTCTCTTCATTGAACTTTGCTGGGGCATTGCAAGAAGTCAAAAGATGTAAAATAAAGCTGTGGTTGGATTGCTAAATAGACTTTTCAGATTTGTAGTTTATTACTTTATGCAAGAATGGTGAAGAGAAGACTCTGTGGCTGGTGGGGCAGTTCACTAGTACAAACCGATGATCATAGTTGTGGTGTGAACAATCTCCTTCCTTATTCACCTGTTCCAGGGTAGTACTGGAGACAGGGGGTCATTATCCAACAACGTACTTCCAAGAGTGCAATGACTTTTGGCTGCAAAGTAGAATTTCCCCTCCTTCCCTTGCACCCCTCCACACCACCCCCAATCTGTGTTTTCCCCAAACACTCTAGAGCAAATTTGGGGAGGGCCTGGGGTGGGAGGGAAGGGAGGAGAAGTTCCATTGCACTAGCAGAAGTACTATGTTAGATACTGCCCGGTGAGTCCTATCTAGATAAACATCTTTATCTGCCCTAAGCCTGTCCTGTTGTTTTCATTAATTTGCATTGTATATATAAAAATTCCCGCACAAATTCACATTTTAATTCATATAAACATCCCCCCCCCCAATTTCTAAACATTTTTTTCCTCCAATAGCGTTTTGAAAAGTATTTTAATACACATTTTGAGCTGGGCCATTCAAGAAATGTGAAATCTAGTTAATCTAAATTCTACTCTGCACCTTAGTTTGGGAGGTGCACATTAACTCAGTTCATATCAGATTTACAGAGACTGAATTCCTCAGGCATCCCTACTTCTAAGATAGGCATTAATATTTACCAAATATTATTGTATTGTACAGCTCCATTCTTTCATGTAATAGATAATACACATTCTCCTAAATACTCTATTGGTACACAAAGCACAGAGTGTTCCTCATCACCTCCCAGTATTAATACTTTATAGTTGTCTTGTTATAAACTATCCTTCATTAAATTAACGTAAAAACTAGAAGAAACCAAACTAATCCATTTCAGCAGAAGACCAGATGCTCAAAATGAAATGATGAATCTCCATAAGCAGTTTGTATTGATATTATTTATTCCAAAATGGCAGTTATTACTCATTTGAATTCTTATTCATTGACAAGGGTACATGGGCAATTTTTGTACATTAAAATACTCCAATACTTTGATTTCTGAAATTCAGGTGAAACAGTGGGAATATTTATCAAGCGTTCCCAGTTTATGGAGGAAAGCTTAATTATGCAAATCCTTTTTGAATGAAAATACATTGCTGAACTCCTGCAGGGCCTAGATTGCTAGCTAGTTTGTTGTGTTTGAGCAAGACTTGATTTCAGCAATATTTGTTAAATTGCTGAGATATCGCTACATATCAGTGAAATATGCTGGTGAATAGTTGCCCAAGATAAGCAGCTGGCATGTTATTATTTTCACAGATTGGATCATTTTTCCCCACCTGCGTTTTAGCATTATATTTTCAAAGCCTCTTTGGCATTTTAGCTGATTGTTGTCCGTTGATTCTCATACGGGGCAAGACCTTTAAACCAGTGCTGTGAATATTTACTCTGTGATTATGAGATGTTAAACTTTTTGAAAGGACAATTCCAGCTTTGGGAATCTCTGCACAACAGAAGTTGCTGCAGTGCGGCTCCTTCACAGATCACTCAGGCAAAGTCAGAAGGCATGGACCATATGAGAGGAGGTTGTGTTGTATGTCCTCCTCACGGCAGTGTTGCCCCACAAACACCTTTCTTCATAGCATAAGGAGGGTGAAGCTCCTAATGATGAGCTGATTCTACTATCTTATCTAATTTCTTACGACTACAGGAAGAAAAAAAAATTCTTTGGGCTGATCCAACTTCTTGACTTTTTAGAGCAAATTTTGCACTTTTACAAGAGATTTCTCCCCCCCAAAAAAGCCTCCCTTGGTGCTAATTCTCACCTTTTTCCATTGTAGTTTGCATAAAACAACTTCTGCAGCAACACTATGTTTTCTTTCTTCTTCCTCTCTGGCAACCTGTACATACAAATAAAATTATGACAGGAATTAAATTATATCCGAGAGGGCAAATGAAGCTAATTGCTTTTCCCTCACCCTGAATGGCTAATGCCAGAGGGCTTCCAAGGCAGCCTGGCCCATCACACCCTATGATAGCAAACTCAGGTGCTGAGTGGTGACACGTATGTTGCCAGACCTAGAACACTGGCAAACAAGAAGGCAGTTTTGGCTTAGGTGAAGTCCAATTTGCAGAAGTACTGTTAATAGAATATTAGGGGGAGGGGACTGTGAATACACATTCCCACCCTTATTTAGTAAGGGCTGGACATGAAGAAAGACTACAGGATGCTGAGTTTCTGTTCATGAGAAACAAACCAGAAAATCACGCTAGGGGTGAAGAAATGGAAAACAGATCCTGAAAATGGGCGTGTTTGGCTAGCTAGAACCCTGAACAAAAGCATGCCACCATTAGAAATAGGGGAGAAATTTGGTACACCTCACATTTTAATGCAAACCTACTTAATTTGCATTTCAAAAAAAAATACACAAAGTGAAATGCAGCTGTGCTTCCAAATTCTCATTTCTTCCATTTTTTGTGAGATGGCAGTTCTTCAGCAACAACAAAAAGTGTACAAAAATGCATATGTCAGTGCAAATAACCTACAGAAAGCCATTGTAGTAGAGTAAATTGCTGGGGGGGGGGAATGTGGTCCTTAGAGAAATGTTTTGTACTAAAACTCTGGGAAATTTCCATGAGGCTTAAAAAAACAATAACCTGGAAAGTATGTGCACACCAGGGAACTACCCATCTTTTATACCATGAGAAGGTCTGTTGATGGTAACTTTTGCTTGACTATTGGTTGAGCTTCATCTTCTTTGCTATCTGATGGACCATTTGACAAGGGCACTGTACCATTCTGTTTACTGGTCCTTCCCTCCTTTTAAATCTTTAAATGCTCCTTTGACCACAAGTTTTGTTATGCTTCCCTGTGTGTGACATTTTCCATTATAATCGCTATTTTCTGTGGTCTGATAGATATCTACAATGTGTTCCGTATCCTTATTGCACACTAGTAAATCTTAAATTAATGCCATCCTTTTGTGTGTCCTGTGTGCCGGCAAGGGAGAGGAACATTTCTGTAGGGTTCGCCCCAAAACTAGGAGACTGCACTAGATATGCCGTTTAGATTTCGTGCAGTTTTGCATGAAAGATAATCTGTTTGGGATTTTATTTTTGGCTCTTCTTATGCTCCCTTGCCTAATGTGCAGTGTCTTTTTGCTTGTATTCACTGGAGTTTAAAAAACCCCCAACTTACCATGAATAGTTAGAAAAAATGCATTAGGAAAGCTTGGTTTTCAGATATAGAATTTTTTAGAGCGTAAAATCTATATAAAGTTTTGTGGATTGTAAAAGGAGCCAAAGAGAGTTTCTTAAGAGCTTATAGAAAATGATATTTGCCCAGAAATCAATATGCATTAGAACACTAATGCACTGTGGCTTGGGCAATGTTTCTGATTTTTTATATATATACCTGTGGCGGGGGGTGGGTATGCATGCATGCTTTAATTATTCAGAGGCACAAATACAAATATTCCATTTTCATTTTAGCACCTATTTTTTCTGTTCTAGACCCCAGGAGGTTTTCTGTGCAATATAATCATTATATTTCTCATCCTATTTGTTTCTTATTTCACATAAAGCCAAGCAGAGTAGGGTATTATTTTTCCTTGAATGGAGGAACATCCCAAAGCTATAGCTGATAGGAGTCAATTCACAATCCAACAGAGCAAATAGGTCTTGTGCATCTGAGTTAAGTAAGTTGTATATTCCACTTTGGATCAAGCTCAACCTTTCAAAGTACAAGAGTTCACTCAGCTTCATTGCTGCCCAAAAGAACTTTGGGAATGTGTGGGATACCATATTGGTCATTAGTAGCCATGATGGATTGGAGAGAGAGTGCTTGCTGGGATTTTTCTGGGTCTGGGATTCACCTGGCATGCACGTAAGGCTAACCATGGCTTGTGTAAAGCCAATGTTTTCTTAACAAAACATGAATTATTCATGAGTTTTCCCACAAGTGATGGAACAAACTACAGCTTGTCCCTCCCCCCCAAGTTCCTCTTGTTTTTCAGTCACTTTTGCCTAGTGTTTTTGTAGTTTTGCAAATGTCTGCAGTGGGGTGTTCAAACAAGTCCCGGTTAAAAGAGATGCTGACTTTGCATATAACACTGATCTATAGTTAAAACAAACCAAGCTTCATATTTTAACAAACAATGACTCCAGTCTGTGCTTTGTTGGCAGTAAACAAACTATAGTTAAGCTGCTGGGAAGAGTTCACACATAATGCTAAGCCATGGTTTAATAAACTATAGTTTCATAAACCATGGTTTAGTGTTATGTGTGAACCAGGTCTTTACTTCAACACGTTGCAGAAGATCTGTCTGCCATTCTTTATTTCCAGCATAGAACGTGCACCATCAAAGTAGAACTGTAGCAAACTTTTATCTATCCTGTCAACATAACTTCACCAAGCTAGGGTACAATATCAAGGAACAATAAAAACCACCATGAAAGCAATAAAACTGAAACCACAGCATATAAACATCCTTTTAAAACAACAGCTAAACAACAGTAAAACTAAAGCTATCCCACACAATATGTTCAAAATAATTGTACTATGTTTACTTGAGTTACTGAACTGAGATGCATATTTTTTTCCA